TTTTTTTTTTTTTTTTTTTTTTTTACCGGGGGTCAAGAGGGTTGGCCAAGGGCCCTGCAAGGTTTGGCTAGGGTTATCGACAGGGTTTTTCTCTATGTCTAGGGCATTTTCAGGTGGGTAGCTACCGTTTTAAGGGCCTTATAGAAGGTCATAGAAGCCCTATACCCTAAACTCCCCACCTGTAGTTTCCTTTAACTATGGGCCTGTTTTTTTCAGTTTTCAGGCTCTAAGACTCTAAGATTCTGGGTTTTTAAGTTCAATGTGGAGATTTGTTTTCGATGTTGCTCTCCTCCTCACCAACATGGAACCATACATCTCCTGCGAAGCGCAAACCAGTCAGCCCCATTTACCCTAAACCCTGAACCCAAAACCCAAAACCCTAAAAAACCCTAAACCCTAAACCATAAACCCTAAACCCCAAACCCTGAACCCTGAACCCAGAACCAAAAAAACCCAAAACCCGAAACCCCTACACCCTGAACCCTCATCCCCGGGACCCTAGAGTATCCACTCTGCCACACTTACACACCCGAGGCTCCCTAAACCCTACGCCCTCAACGCTACTAACACTCAAAACGCCGTAGTGTTTGGGGTCTTGTCTGCGGAAACCTAGGGTGTTGGTCTGGGGACTACACCTACGAGCTGCCCGGAGGGATATGGTTCTTGTTTGTCTTTGTTTTCTTATTTTAAAGTTTTCTCAGGGGTTGTTGAGGGGCTTGGTGCTATAAAGTGGTGATAATCATAGGTTTGGGGTTCTACAGGGGTTACAGGCGTTTAGGGCTATAGGCTATAAGGATTAGATCATCAGGATCTGGGGTGTCACAATGAGTGCGCTTTTTGAAGGGCGTTTTTTCCAGGGGGTTTTCGGAGGTTTGCCAGGGCTGTGCAGCGCGCCATGGGCAAGGATTCCAGGAATAGAGACCTATAAGCCCAAAACCCTTAACCCTTAAAGCCCTAAGAACCTCGGGCTTGGGTCTTGAGGGTTCCGTGAATTAGGATCCTGATATTTTGGGTTATGGGACCCGGGTTACCAGGGTTTCTTAATCAGGTTCCCACCTTATTGTGACTAAACCCTAAACCCTAAACCCTAAACCCTAAACCCTAGTGATGTAGGCTTCCAGGGGTCGGGGACTCGAAAGAGTTTCGTCGGTTCGGGTGTGCCTTGGTTGGTCTGTGAGATTCTTTGGGGAGTTGGGATTTCTGGGTTTAGGGTTTAGGGTTTAGGGTTTAGGGTTTAGGGTTTAGGGTTCAGGGAGTTGGGATATTGGGACTGTGGCATGTAGAGTGCTTGAGCCTCTAAAAACACAGCTCCACTTCCGAACCGCTTCCCGTCAAAGCCCTAATTTTCTAAAGCCCTAAAACCCTAAACCCTAAACCCTAACTTTCTAAAGCCATAAAGCCCCAAACCATCAATATTTTAGGTTCCCCCCCCAAAGCTGAACCCTAACCTGGCCCAAGCGCCACGCCCGAGCTTTGAACACAAGAGGAACGAAAAGAAGTCGTAGATAACGGGTCCTTAGTGTGGAGCCAACAAGTAGTAGGGTCCTGCATAGTACTGCGCCGGTCCGAAAGTTC